GTGCTCATTCCCTTGCTTATTGTTTCTAGTAGAAACTATTAATACTCTGCTTATTTCTATGAGAAATATTTAAATAAGAAACAAGTAGCTATTAAAACACACACACATGCACACTCAAGTTGTCTGTCTCAAAAACAAAAGATAAAAGGATTTATCCCCCATGGAAAAGTCGCTGCCAGCAAAACTTCCTCTTTCCATAAAGTAACAAAGCCCCTAGGTTTTCCTTCATCTGGAATGTCACAAAAATAATAGAAGCTATCAAGGACATTATCCTTGCTAAAGATCTTCAACCCCCTCTAATAGAGGACTTCCAGATGAAGAGGCCAATGAACTGAAACTCACAAATGTAACCAATAACCTAATTAGCAGTTAAGACAGTACTGTGGATTAGCTCCTGTTTATATGGAGATCTTTACAGACACTAAAGGTTTAATGCTGTCATAAATTTTAATACAATATTTTAAAACACACGAGTTCAGCACTCTCAAAAGCAAATTTACTTAGCTGGGTCAGAAATCTCTGACTTCATTAGTATTCGCTTACATTCCTAACTTCCCTTCATCATATCGGAAGGTCTCCAGGATTGGCACTGGCTTTAGCTAGAAAAATCAGTCAAACTGATGCATATTCATCAAGCAGCTGCTCTAAAATGATTGATGATGGTTATCTTGGTTCCATTACTAAGTAAAGTAAAAAATTTAAGCAAATCACAGCCTCATTGGGTGTCAAACTAGAAAATGAAAGAATTGTATTAAATGATTACTAAGGCTTCTTCCAGCTCTAGCTCTAGAAATGCATTTCTATAACTTTACATGTTTTGAAATTGCCAAGTATTGAAAAATATGCCAGATTAGCATAGTATCAGCCTCTCTACTCACATGCACTAAGGTCCATTTTAAAATGTAAATATGTGATCTGAGAGAAGATGGTATTAAGACATAGAAGCCATTACCAGATTAGGATTTAGCTTCAGGCAGGTACAAAACTCCCAGGAAAAGCAGTTGCCAGGAAGATAAGGATTGAAGCAGGTATAAATCAAATACCTATAGGACCTGGAAAAATAGTTTAACTTAATGGGAAAAATTGATTAGAAATTATGAAAGAATGGAGAACAGGTCTTCAGCTTTAGCTACTTGTTGCCTTGCATGAATGTGGGCCCTGAGTTATCCCATCCTCAGATTTTTTTGAAAGAAAGTAAAAAATATATAAAACACTTGACTTTAAAATATTGAATCAAAATATTTTAAAATGCTATACAAGCGAAATATGTCTGCACGTACCTTTGGTGTTGAATATGAAATATGAGATCGCTGATATAGAACATGGAATAGCATATAAAGATAGTGGGGCATGGGAAATGAGGGGAGTAGTGGAGATTCACAGTGCTATCGGGGGCACTCGACTGAAAACATTTAGAAAAGCAAGCAAACTTGGAGATAGGAGAGATTAGAACAGTGTTTTAAAACTTTTGGGGGTCATCAAAACCATATCATAAATGATTTAGAGATTTCTTTTCCTGGAAAAACAAACACACTAATGAAGGAAGCAGAATAATAGTGTCCCAAAGATTCCATGTCTTCACCTCTGTCTTCTGACCTCCATGTTACTGTACCAAAAAAAAAACAAAACTGATATATATATGTATATATGTATGTGTGTGTGTGTGTGTGTATATATATATATATATATATTTTTTTTTTTTGCAGATATGATTAAGTTAAGGGCCTTTCCAGCTACGATCAGAGGAACATACAATGAAGGAAGAATGGAAGAATGGCCAGAGAAATGTAGCATTGCTGGCTTTGAAAATAGAGAGAGGGGCCATGAGTTATGGAATGTGGGAAGCCTCTAGAAACTGGAAAAGGCAAGGGAGCTGACTGATCCCTCTCACTCTCCACCAGAGCCTCTAGAAAGGGTCTGGAGTCCTACCAACACCTTTATTTGTGTTGTTTTTAAGCCACAAGTTCACAGTCATGAGTTACAACAGTGATAGAAAAACAACATTAAATATATATATATATATATGGCAAAAAATTCATAAACCTCCCTGAAGCTCACCAAACCCACAGATGGAAATGAAGACTTCTTGTGCTAGTAAAAAACTCAAGATACGATGTGAGAGTGCTGAGAACTATAGATATGAAAATAGCTGACATACATGAAAAAAATCAATCCCACCCCATGACCTCAAGTAGCTCTAAAATCCCACTTCAACAAGGATGGATTCATTTTCTAAAGACTACTCCTTTGAGCTCTTCAAATGATATGTGACCCCTTGGTGGCTCCTGGCTGCAGAAAGGTCTCTCTTCACTTGCTTGTCATGTTCATTATGTTAATAACATTCTGCCCCAACCCCCAAGAAAATGGTATTTTACACCTGCTGAGATTTAGCCTGGTCTTTTCCCTCACTTTGAGTCAGACTTAGGTCTGGCGTGTCCTGTTACAGTATCATGTCTCTATCAAGATCCTATTGGGCATGATATGCCTAAACCTGGCCGTATGCTGGCTTAAATAGAAGAGGATTGTTATCAGGAATGTGAACTACCTGATTCAAACTTGTTTTTAGTTTCAGATCTCATTTCACCAGTTCATCAAATTTCACAATCCCTGTAATATTTTGAGATAGATTTTTTTTAAGTTCCATTAGAATGTCCCTGGGTGACACCAACATAGTGAGTAAATTAACTCTGTAGTTGAAAGGTAACCAGACCAATCTAAATATTAAACTTAATAGTGCCCAGAACTATTAAGTGGCCTAACAAGGCTTCTCATTTGTGACTCAGCACCAAAATCTGTTATTGTTGACACTGATTCTCAGAACATGCTGGAATGTTGCTAGCTCAGAAAACTAGATCTTGTGAAAGTGGGACACAAAAGGGGCAAAGGGGACACAAAAGGGACCAAGGGCAACAAGGAGGTGGGGATCCCATGAAGGTTTGCTAAGAGGCAGAGGACGAGAGACCAGATTTGCTTTTACAAGAAGAAGCTGTAAATCTATTGGAGACTGGAATACAACCCTGATTTAACAAGGAAGGCTGCATGGTGACTTTCCATCTGATTTCTTTTCTTGATACACACACAGAGGTTTATTAGCACAAACGTTTGTATGCACATGCATTTTTTTTCTAAAGGAAAATACCATAGATCTCTGAGAATAAAGTACAACTCTCTACTCTCCTAACCCCTGGGTAAAAATTGCTGTTACATAGGTTACTTTGTAGGACTATTCTATCTCAATACTGTTAGCTCCCAATTAGTTACACATGAATGATTCCTACTACAGAATCCTATCAAATTTTTTGAGTTGGCCACTGACAATAGTAAAATTACCAGTTTCTCCACTATAGAAGGAATACAAAATGATTTTAAGTTTACTGAACACAGGCTTCTTTGAGAAGGCTAATTGCTAATACCATCTTACCCCATTGGCCTATGTTGGATACACACATCCAAAGGACTGCCAAAAATTCCCTAAGCATGAATGATTTAGTTTTGGTTTTGGTTTGCTTTGCTTTGCTTTTATGCTGTTTAGAAATATTCATGGAGAACAGTTGACCTTAAGTTTTCTGAAAGAGGCCTTCATCAGTCCGGTGGGGAGCAGTCAGAGTCACTGCCTAAATGATTCTAACCAGTTAAAAACAGCTGTATTACAAGGCCTCAAATAGGAGGGAGAAGGTTCTGATAAGTAGAGAAAAGACAAAATTGAGGGCCACAGGTACTCCCTGAGGTCAGGTAAGAATAACAAATAGGGTGACTCATGAGCAAGGTTATAAAGGTGACTTTGAATCCACTTGGATAGCAAATTGCCTTACTTTTGGGGTCCCATTTAGTGGTTTGGAGTTCTGTGAGCATAAATTTAGTATGTTAGATTTTTTAAAATTATTTTATTTAACTCTATTTATTTACTTATTTTAACTTGATCAGAGAAAGACAGAGTGAAAGAGAGAGAGAGGGAAAGCGAGAAAGCAAGGCACCAGGTCTAGGACTTGAACCAAAGTTGCCATGTGGGAGTCCAGTGGCCTTAACCACAACGCCACCTGCCGGCCCCATACGTTAGATATTTTAAACCACAATTAATAGCACAATCTTCTCCATAGCTGTTGATTCATTTAGACTGTGCTGCCTTAGAAAAAAATTCTAAAGGTCATGCTCAAAGCCTTCCACTGAGTGAGGGATATGATTACACCATACACAAGATCCTACAAAGACAGCTGACACAACTAGTGGGTGAATTCTTTCTTCTGTTTATTTCCAGAAGAGACTTTCCATAGACAGCTGCAATGCCAGGCTCCCATCAGAATGTCATGCCAACCTTTCCACTGGCAGCTTTCCATCCATGTTCTTGCCCTGGATCCAGAACCATATTCTGCAGTTCAAATAGACCCAGAGAGGCCAACTTCAGGGCTACTTCAGGGCTTGAATCACCTTATGACACTTGGGTAAGCACAGAATCTGCACCCGCCATGACATAACCAGACATCTGAGGGTTCAAATTCTGGCTTGAACTTTTGTGTGACATATGATTTAATGTCTCTCAAGTCTCAGGCTCCTCCATAACAGAGGACTATGAGTACTCGGCTTTATGAAAAAGTGATGAAGACTAAATGAGATAATACGAGGAAAGCAGTTGGCATGACATCTACATAGTCAGCATTAATGTATCATTATCACGGAGGGAAACCTAATCCCCTCTAGCATGGAATAAAGGGGACAGAATAAATGAAATCAGCATTTCTCTCCAAGGGCAGAACCATCTCCTCTCCTCCCTGAGCCTTAAAGTAGATTATCTTTAAATGAAAGAGAAACTAGGTCATTTACACTTCTCTTAAACTCACATAGTGTTTCTCCTTCAAGGCCCCTGTAAGAACTTCTCTGACTATAAGAAAGGCCAGTGAAAGTCCAAAAACCTCAGCTCTCAGGTGGGGAAGGAAAGCACACAATTAGCATTTCTGAGAAAGAAACCCCAGGCACAAAACAGCTTCAGACAACAAAGAGCCCACCTTGGTTGAAGTCGAACTGTTTCTTGGCACCTGAAGGTGTTGTTCTGTGGACTTTCATGAGCTGGCATTACTCCCTGACATTCTGACTGGCTGGGTACCACATGCTCTGTCTCCTGCAAGAAGAAGCAGAAAAGTAGATGAGCTGTCAGCAGTGATCAGTCCCACTGCATTCTTCAGCTGGAGCATAAGTCTCAGGGCAGGGGAGCAGCAGTCTAACACACTCTACTGATTGCCGGGAGGGAACAGAGCCAAGTCAGTGGCCTGAAATTTAAATGGTCTCTTTCTATCAGTCAGTTGCTGCAAGATTACAGGATAAAGAAAAAAAAATCTAATGTCCAAAAGATATGACAAAGCTATACAACGAGAATTTTATGGACACTAACATTGATGTTATAGAATATTTAATAAACAAATATATCTGAGAATACACTTTATTAAACAATATTCATAGCATAGACGGCGTAATGGCTATATCATTGGAATTCCTTGTAGTCGACTGCAGTTTGAGTCTCGGACCTGGTGGCTTAAACTCACGCCGAGCATGTGTACATGTGTGCCCAGGATCCTGAGAGGAGAATGGAGAAGAAGGGATTGCAGAGTGGCCATCTCCCAGGGGGGGGGGGGGATAATTTCTCACTCTCTCTCTCTCTCTCTCTCTCTCTCTCTCTCTCTGTCTTTCTGGTGAGTGTACACGCCCTGTAGCAAAAACCTCTCAAAAAAAAACCCAACTATGTTGAATGTTCATATATGTACACAGAAACACAAAGATTGAGATAAGTTTAAGTAAACTAAAATCTTTTTTTTTTTTTGAGAGGTTTTTGCTACAGGGCGTGCGCTCACCAGAGAGACAGAAAGAGATAGAGAGACAGAAAGCGAAAAATCACCCCCTGAGGTATGGCCATGCCTCAATCCCTTCTCGTCCATTCTCCTCTCGGGATCTTGGGCACACACGCACACGTGCCTGGCATGAGTTCAAGCCACTGTGTCCGGGACTCGAACCGCAGTCAACTACATGGGAGTTCAGCGACATAGCCATTACGCTAACTGCTGGTCCCTACCAAAATCTTAATAGTGGCTAATTCTGAGATGTCATACTTTTTTATTTCTTTTTGGAGCCTATATCTATTTTCCAATTTGTTTTTTAACAATAAACACATATTATTTCTATACTAAGAAAGAAATTTAAGTTGGTCTGAAAACTAAAGAGTAAACCATTTTATAATTCAAAGTCCCAGGGTGCTTAATACTGCCCCCTCACACACACACATGCTATCATCATTAGCTACTTTGCATCTAAAGAAAACATGATACTGGTCATCCATGATGCAATCCACTCATTAATTAAGAAAAAGCTGAGTGCTAAACTCTCTAGGGAACATCATAAACACACCCAAGCGGAAGCTAATCTGGATTCAATACAAACACACACACATACCAGAAAAAAAAATATTACATGTGTCTACCATAATCTTTGAGCTATGCCAAATCTCAAACTGACACATTTTCCTCATAATGAAATAGTCTCTCTTTACCTTATAAAGGACACACTAAAATGAAACTCTGTGAGAGTCTGAAGTCCACATGGCTACCATTATTCAAAATATTCAAGGGGTCTGGCAAATTTGGGTCTGGCAGTGCCCTATACTGTGGTGGCAATGGAGACCCAGCACTCTATTAGAGGTAGGGGTTGAAGTCAGAACAAGTTCTAATATGTTAGCTGTCTTATAAGCTTTTTACCTCAAATACTAAAATAAACTAGTGGGGTTATTTGCCAGGTAGTTAAACAAAATCATGTAAATACTTTCATAAATGATAAGTAAAATGGGGACCAGCAGTTAGCATAATGGCTGTCGCTGGACTCCCATGTAGTAGACCGTGGTCTAGTCCTGAACTTGGTGGCTTAAACTCATGCCAGGCGTGTGTGCGTAAGTGCCCAAGAGCCCAAGAGGAGAACTGGAGGAGAAGGGATTGCAGCATGGCCATCCCCCCTGGGGGGTGATTTCTCACTTTTTGTCTTTCTGCTAAGCGCATGCGTCCTATAGCAACAACCTCTCCAAAAACTATAAATAATTAAATAAATAAATAGTAAAATGAAGGGGTGGGATGTGGCAGATCTGAGGAAAAGGAATAAACAAGGCTTATAGAGATCTACTCAGTAATTCTTTCAAGCTTCCAGCATTAGGCAAGTAGACATTCCACTTGAAAATATTCCATTACTATTCACTAGTTCCCTAGTCTTACTAGTTGTTTGTAAAAAAAAAAAAATGAAAGAAGAAAGAAAAAGAAAGAAAGAAAGAGAGACAGAGAGAGGAAGAGAGAAAAAGTGAAAAAAGAAAAAAGAAAGAATAGGAAAAAAAAGGGAAAAAAATTGTAGCTACTAGTGAAGTTCCCCTACTCAACATTTTTAAGTGAGATAGCTCTGCTTGCTACTTGCTAGCTGTGTGACCTGGGCCAAGTTACATAAATTATCTAGATCTCAGATTTCTTTTCTATGAAATGTGGATAACATCACTAACCTCACAATATTATTAAACAAGATGTCATTTAGAATCTCTTTGAGTGACTGGAGCATGCAACAGATAGGAACTATTGAATTTTTTATACAAGTTCCCTTTTTAAGCTCAGTCGTTTGAAACCATGCTAAGGAAAACCTTGGAGACTTAACCCAAATGAGTTCAGCAAAAGAAAACCTATTTTTATGGTGGAATGCATGATTCAGGTTTCTATACTAATATCAATATTATTTTAAATATCAGAGTTAGAAGTCCCATTCCCAGAGGTCTTAGAAATGGCCTTTTTACTCTCTAAAAAGTTTAAGCCAAAATTTCCATTTTATCATACAACTTTACCCTTTTAGGAAAGAGTAGTGTTTTCTTTTGTTTCGTGTTTTCAAAGAGAGTATTGTAGCTAATTCTTTGAACTCTGCAGGAGCTGAGAAGGACTGAACAAGACACACACTGCTGGATTCCCGTGAATCTAATGATTCATCTTAGAGATGAGTAAATCGGGCTTTGGAGAAAATGGTCCTTAATTCACTCAGGTCAGAGGTCTCAAAGTATTCTAAGAGGAGAATTTTTCTCTGGGATGGGTAGATAAGGAGGATTTGGGGACAGTTGATAATCAAATCCCTGATTCAAATGAGAAAAGGTGGCACTGTCATCTATGTTTCTTTTTTTCCCACTATGAATTTCAAATCTGATAGTGTAGAGAGTTGGGGAAGAATAGGTAAGGAGTAGGGAATAGAGCATCCCGAGTGAGGAGGAACAGAGCAGGCTCTGATGTGAAACACAAGTACGACTGTAATGGCAGGGTGTCCTTCCAATGCCAAAAACAGATCATGCTCCTCAGTTCTGAGCTCCAAGACTTCAGCCTCTCTAGAAAAGCCTAGTCTCTCTCAGAAAATGTTGAATGCATTCTTCTTTCCAAAGCTTTTTGTGAGTTTGGAAAACCTTTTGCTCGTAGGAAAAAGTATACTTATATTTTCAGTTTAATCCCTTCCACTCCATTAACTCTTCAGGGAAAGATCCTGTGTGAGTCAATAGGACCAGCCTAGCTCCAACAGGAATCCGTATGCCTAATATTGAGGCTGTCAGTCTTTCAGTTGAAGCCCCAGACATCATGTAGCAGAGATAAGACCTCCTCACTGTGCCCTAAGTGAGTTCCTGAGCCACAGAAAACATGAAAAATAATAAAAGATTATCGTTATTTTGAAGTTTGAGATTATTTGCTACATGGCAGTAGATAACCAAAACATGTTACATTTCTTCTATTCTAAGACATCATCCATTTTAAAAGCCACTACTGGTTTGATTAAATAAAAGCTTTTTAGGGAAAAAAAAAAAAACAATATGCACTTGACAATTTTTAGGTATATTCAGTTATAAGAAAGGTGAAATTCTGAAAAGATGTGTGTGTTGGCATTGAAGAACACAGAGCATGCCCAGCAGATCTGGAATGTGAGGGATAAAAGGAGTCTTTTCAGGACACATCCAAGAAAAGCAACCCCAAGAGTCTAATCTGAAACTCAAGAACCCCACAAGTAACAGAGAAGGAACATTCAATCAGCAGTTACCCCAGTTTTAAAAAAATAATTTCAAGATTTTCCTTAAAGGAGGAAGGTACATGGAAAGGGCATATCATCTTACTGAATTAATAGAACAGTAGCCTTCAACACTATTGTAGAGACAGTTGTCATTTACTCATAAAGATATCTAAGAAAATGCACAAAATGAAAACAGTAAGTACTCTATCAAGTGCATCTGCCTCTTTCACAGAAATTTAGCCAGATACAGGTGAGACATCTACATCTTGGTTCTAGTTGGATCACACACACCCCTGGCCAGGTCAAGGTTAACCAGGGCTGCCAAAAAAATAAAAAATAAAAAAGTCCTTAGAAGAGATATTATACACTTGTGGATGGTTGAAAGTTAACATTTTCTTCACGTCTGAACCTCTCCCCCAAAGGCAACAACAGCTAAACGAGACATTTAAAACACATTTGATTACCTTTGCCCGTTTAAACTTCAGCCCATCTTCAGTATCAGCTATTATACAAAACCCAGCTCAAAAATTCTAGAATATTAAAGCAGGGTAACTATTTTAAAATAATTGAGACACATTTTTACTTAAAAATCATAATACATAACAAGTATTTCAGTAGTTGAGAGGGTCTCTAAAGGTGAATAAGACATATTTGCTCTCAAGGTTTTTTTTTTTGTTTGTTTGTTTGTTTGTTTTTTTAGTGGTTTTATCTATAGGGCGGGTGCACTGGCCAGACAGACAGAGAGAGAGACATAGAGACAGAAAGCAAGAAATCACCCCCCCGGGGGGGGGTGGCCATGCCACAATCCCTTCTCCTGCGTACTCCTCTTGGGATCTTGGGCACACATGCACGCACACACATGCTCCCAGCGTGAGTTTTAAGCCACTGGGTCCTGGACGCGAACTGTGGTCGACTATGTGGGAGTCCAGCGACATAGCCATTTCGCTAACTGCTGGTTCCACAAAGAGTTTTCAAATCTACTATTTTACAAAGACTGGAGTATAAGGGCAGACTCTAAGTTGTTTGTTTCTGTGGTGATGTGTTTGTCAAAACTGACCAAGGGGAACAACG